TCAATGAGTTCAAAGCCACAGTCACGCATTGCAGACAACAGACTAGTGCACAGGTGCATTGTTGTCATGAAACAACACAGAATGATATTTAGCTTTAACATTTTCACGATATTGCCTCAGCAAATCAGCCTACTATTTGCCATTATCGGTCAGACGTTTCGGCAGGTAGTCCACCATTAGGAATACTTTGGAATCCTAGAAAACCGAAGCAATCACCTTGCGAGCTGATGGAACAGACTTGGCCTTTTTAGGAGTAACATGCGTTAGTTGTTTTCACTGCTCTGCATCTGGCAGATAGTAGTGCAACAAATTAAAGTTTACAAAACGTCTGGGTTTGCTCCAAAACGATCTAAATTCCCATTTGAGAGGAGGGCCTGAGAGCCCAGCGTGCTGAAACCTTTTTCATGACTAATTAACTCCTTTGAATGTTCTCAACCCTCTCACGAGATAAACCTACTATATTTGCCATGTGCGATGTGCGTCATCGATCATACATTATCATATCTTGTATGTTATCAACATTTTCCGTAGTGGTGTCTGAGAGGCCTTCTTGATCATTATAATGGATCACATGTCAATCCAAAAAGTCCAGCAATGTGGTAGATGGCAATCGTCGTGCTGTCAGCATTACATACGATTCTAACTCTACTTATGCTTGCTTCGGTGACATGGGTGATAGGTGGCAGCTACCAAGCAAGCACGAGCCAGGAAAGAGCATCCCTCAGCCCTTACACATCATGGCCCTACTACTTTGAAGGTAAAAGGGGGTAGGCGTTGGAGCAAGTTCCGATCTCGACAGTTTCCTCAACAGCACCAAGCTACATCTAAGAAGGCTTATCATACACCTGGGCTCCAACGACTTGTGTGTCAAAGCTAGACACCATCTGTATGACAATATTCTGAGGGACTTATTATACACTCGTCTTCGCCTCCTACACGCCACACTGATATGGTCCTGGATGCTTCCACGCAAGGTATGGCGAGGGGTCAACAACGTGTGCAAGGTCGAAAAAGCAAGAAAGTAGCTGAATCGTCAGATTGCTAGTCGCGTTAAATAGCTCAAAGGCTTAGTCAGGCACGGCCGTGCTGATACACGTGCTGATAGTATGTACCTCAGAGACAATGTGCGCCTTAGTGCAAGCTCACAGACCTACGTCATAAGGGATATCATCCAGGCTTATATATAGTAAGGCAGGTAGTGTATTATTTTGAGCACATTGCGGGTTCAAAGTTTATGCCAAATGGGAGACCAACCTATGTTGTGCATGGAGGCGCTGGTGGCGTGGTTTGGGCGAGGACTGGTGATAACATCGGGCAAAAAACACAATGGTAGCACTAATTTGCTGGTTGCCTGCTTTACAGCAGGGGCCTATTTATCCAGCGTGCAGATCTATGCTATGCTATGGCATAGCTCTAATTAACTCTTGTCTGCTCAGGGTCCAGCAAATAGAGTGATTAGCTCGTCTGCTTAGGATACAGCAGAGAGCTGATTAAGTTGCAAGCTGCACTATACTAACAACGGGAGTTATCTCCCTTTACTGCTCGGTGCCAGCCTCGTTCTCCACAACCTGGCCTTTAATTGTCTCCCCACAACTTTACCTTTTATTTCATTCTCTGTCATTCAGCGTATATTTATTTCGTCAAACCAGTAATTTCACAACTATACAATATATCCCTATCAAAGCCACAGATCTGTCAATAATGGATCATATACGAGACTATCGTTTCCCCTCTGGACCTCCCTACTCATCGAAAGAAAGACAATGTCCAAATAGACTTCCATTCTCAACTCATTCTCGAACAAGACAACAGTCAAAGGCTCAAGTATTTTGGAAGTGACCAGAATCTATGTTCAGCACTTAAATGATGGGCTATTTAGACAAAGGTTTCTTTGGCTTCATCTAGAGCCTGCCAAGCCTGCCAGGATAACATTTTACTTTTCCAGACAAAGGCATACAACGCTGGTAAAGTACGAGGATGCACCTCTCCCAAACGTACATATTTGTTTCATGTAAAAGTTGCCAAAAGTCTTCCCCATTCAAAAGGCGGCCCATATATCTGCTTAGGATTGTAGGGCAATCAGGATATGAAATTGTCCAGTAAGGATGGACAAAACATCTGCAGTGAAGTCGCACCATGTCCAGAATGAATGACAATCCTTGTGTCTGCTTCCTCGTGATTGTCATGAAGGTGAGAGTATCCTTGCCATTTAATGTCACTTGAGCAGCTTTGACTTCTGGCCATGGCTATTCTGCAACATTTGAAGTAAAGAACTGAAAAAATCTTCCTCATCCCGGGAAGCACACAGGACACCCACCCACACAACGTCCTGTTTACTTTGTTCTTAATTTGACCCATGAGATATGGAATGAAAACACTGTCACCTAAATCATCGAAGGTGTGAATTACTGGGATGGACAACAACAGAGCTTTGCTGTCATAAGAAGCTGATGGTTCCTGATGGTTCCTGCTGATTGACTGTTCAAACGGTCGAAAACGTGCAGATTTTGCATTGGGTAACCACAATTTGCCGAAATCAGAGAGAGAAGGTGGGAATACCTGGATCTCATGAACAAACAATTCCCTTAATATATTCTCACAGGGGCGGTCGGGTAGCCTAGTGGTGAAAGCTTTCCCAACATGGGTACAATGTGTTAAGCCCATGTCTGGTGTCCCCTGCAATATTATTGCTGATATATTGCTAAAAGCGGCGTAAAACGGACTCATTCACTCATTATCACAGTCATTGTTTAGAAGATGACTTGCTGGATGGAAAGCTGAAGAGTGGCAGAGAATGTCTCTTGAGAGGTTAATAAATAGACTGGGTCTAATCTTCCATCACCCTCCAACACCCTCCAGTGTGTTTACTGTGGTTACAACCAATGCTGGCGTGAAGTTTCGGCTATGAAGAGTAACAAGTTCGCCAAAATCATCAAAGAAAGGATTTCACATATGTCTGATCGTATCTGAAAGGCTCCGGCTTTCGAAATGTTTCCTGTGTGGAAAGCCCTTGCTCATGGTGAAGGAATGCCCTTGGAAGATCAGGATCATCATCAAGGATATACTCATTTTCATACTATACTATACTATATTAGTAACCATACTAATCTACCAAGCTCGGTCCCTGACAGCATCCCACATTTGAAGGCAATGGAGTTTTCTGTCCACCGGGACCTTGACCTGCTTGTTCCCCTGCTCATGATCAAATGTTATAGAAGAAAATGTGTTTTGTTTTGTTTTATTTATGCGATTAACCACTGATAATTCGTCTCACACCCTTCTCTGACTGCTTCTTGTAGGAATTTCATGTCTCTTATGTGAATGGATGTCCATCTTGCATAATGAGTGTTGCCAGGGGCATGGAACAGAGGTGTTAACTGTTCCAAGACTTCCTGGTATTGTATCATGGTATATCTAGGTACATTCACAACATTTGCCTTCGAATTCAATGCCACGGCTGGAACGTAGGCATAATTGTCTTGAGAGAGATTGCCTGGACGTTGATGAAGGGGAACTCGTGTGCTCACTTTGTTCAATTTTGTCTTGTTACGAAACTGAAATAGGCTTTTGCCAGTTCCATGAAATGAGGTTGATGAAATAGCCAACCCATGATTATGGTCAATGCTACTAAGGGCCTCAACTGTGAGCAAGTTTTTTCAAGCAGACGAGAAAGACAACAACATGCATGCACAATTTGTGTTTCACACGCACAGAACAGTACAAATACAACCTGTACGTAAAATAACACAAAATGAGCTTCCATTTGATACATGATATGACATAATACGATTAATTCTGAAAATTTAGTTTAGTAACGGTTTTAAGGCAATAATGAATTTTGCGGCACAGCACGTGCAACAAATGACAACCTGAGACCACAGAGGTTGCGATGGATTGTGTGGGGTGGCATCACTATGACTGACGGAACCCCACTCCATATTGTACATGGAAAGTCTCTTGAACATTTCTATCGGGACGACATACTGACACACTTTGTTGTCCCGCCTGCCAACACATCGTATACTACAAACTGCCAACACATCGTATAGAAATTCCCTTATCGCAAAAACAATATCCTTTAAATGAGGTTGAATGACCGTGAACATTTCTGAGGCTGAGTACAATATTGTTTTTTGAGTCCTGTTATGGTTTTGTGGGCTTGGGCTGCCATTTGGATTCACAACTTTACTTTTTCATATCAACAGGAAGTGATTCGGAATTCACAGAAGGCAGTTGCGTTTTAAATTACAACCACTGTGACAGCATAATATAAACAAAACTAATTATCTGTGTCAGTGTAACTTATTATAATAGGCCATCATCTTAACTCAATAGTTCATTTTATGTAGTCTTAAGTTGAAATCGTAAACAACACTTAATCCATACGTACATCCCTTGTGAGATCGTGTGCAACGAGTCAGGATATTTAAGACTGTAATTTCGTCAATATCTGTAAGAGATATTCAGGCTTATTAACAATAATATTCACCTCCTATCAATGTGGATAGGTGTGAAGGGTTCAGTCAGCCCTTCATGTGTTTACAGCTCTAGCTGCCACCGTTAATTGTTTTGTTATTTATTAACTGTTTGATTGGCATTCTAGTTGGTGAGTAAATAAGAAAGAATAAAACCTTTATGAATAACTGCTGGTTAATTGCTTCATTTAGCGACGTTTCGATGTAGATAACTTCGATATCGGTTCTTACACCATTATCAAGATTAGAATATACATCGAAACGTCGCTTTATGCAATAACCCAGGAGAAGTTATCTATAAAGTTTTGTGTTTTCTTGTTTTTTGTTGTTTCACAAAATAATAATGTCACAGCAGTGGATACAGTTTTGCAGCCTCACTTTAATGACCACGACATACGTCATGGTACACAAGCTTTTATATATGTTATATCCACATACCTTTTGACTACAAAATGAATAACCAAACGACAATATGAATATATAGAGAAAACACATCTCAATATATATATATATATAACAGCAATAATCAAATGACAATGACACATCAATGGGGTTTCGATGGCAAAAACAATATTGTAATTAAAATACATTGCATTCAAATAGTACAGGTAAGTATATCATAGTTGAAGCTACAATTGACGGAAGACGTCCACCATAAATTCTCTTATTATTAGTAGCAACATTTTCAAAAGTAATTGTTATGGATAGAAACTTGATGCACTGCATCATACAAATAAAGTCTACTTGTTCTCTAATTCTACATGAAAATGTGTTGCAAAACAATGTTATTGCCTTTGCATGAATCATTTTTTGGGGAATCTGAAAAGAAGTTTTCACGTGAAAGTCATTTAACTAGTTACGGGCTTCTTGTCACTGTCACGAAGTGAATTTCAGAATCGTGAAGCCAAAACTCACTAATGATGCGAGAAATAACGATTTTAGTGGAGTTGAAGCTGATGAATCACAGACATCAGTGTCCAGGCATTATAACGTTGTCAGAGTACAATGTCCCACTTTGGGCGCCATATCGGTAACATAGCACAATAGCGTTCGTCCAAGATCAAGGAGACCTCGCATACCCACAGCAGCCCAGAATCGCTATGTCCTGGTCCTTCACATTCGAAGCAGGACCATCACTGCGACGTACACTGTAACAGAAATCACTGATTTACGTCCCATATCTGCTGAGACCCGCCGGAATCCGAGCAAGAGGGTCCTACGTTGGCTTTATTTCACTCAACGTAATCGTGGTGTCGATACTTCAGCAGTGGCTTCCAAGACGTTGTTTGGTTTCTTCTCCAAAGAAGATGGATGGACCCGACTGTACCGGCGACGGAAGCAGCCTTATCCCGGATATTGTGGACAATAAGTTGATATATTTGGTAAAGGAAGTGTCATGATGTAGGGAGCAATTTCGTGTGGGTGAAGAACAGATCTTGCTGATATCCAGGGAAACGTAACAGGTGGGCGTGTTCAGGATCTGCAAACACCAGACGCAAGTCTTAGCATGATAATGTTATTATCAAACACCATTCTTCCTACTTTTTCAGATTGTAAACAGTATTCAGGGGTGCTTTGCTGCAAGGTTAAATGCAATACTTTATATTGCGCCAAAGAACACGTTTAAAATTATAATGGACTGACGTAATGACGCTGGTAACTAACCTCCCTGTGATCTAATGTATCCTTCAAGTTGTAAACCTCTTCCATTATTGTTGTCAAGCAAGATGGAACAACCATACCAATTATTGACCTGTGAAATAGTTTCTTTGAATATTATTTGTGCTAACCGGACGTTGGTGCCCTGTGAATTATATCTATATGATGCAACTGGAAACGTTTTATGACCACATATACAGATGTTGCTTAGTGGAGGGCATTTAGCAACACACTACAGTCAAACAAAACGACAGCTGGTGCTCTTCCTGTGCCGTGTTGGTCCCATGGCGATGCCATTTCATGTTGCAACTCACAATAACCAGTGACATAGAACCTCGGCTTAAACGTTTGTATGTGATTTACGTCCTGCTTTAGGAAGTCGTAGCGGAAAGAGAAAACTGCACCTTGGGACTTAACTATAAACTATCCATTTCAATGGTATTTTCTAATGTATAGGAGGAACAACCTATCAGTTAGGCCTGTTCGGGGATTTTACGGCGATTTACGGCCCTAGGTTTAACATATTTGATTTTAAATCTATGCCCAACAACACACACGGTTAGTCTTAAATTAGGCACCTTAGAATAGTAAAAAAAGTTTGCTCTAATCCCATGTGTATTACAAAGTCAAAGCACTTGGACGTAAGCTTATATTTATAATAATTTGGGGCACAACTATAGGGGTAGAGCAAACTATATTTCTTAAATGAGCAGTGTCGTGAGAGTAAACAGTACATCTTACCAGCTTCGGGGTAACCAGTGACGTTACAATGGTCTCCTAGGGGAGATTGTTTGATCTTACTCAAGTGATATCGCCTGTGGAGCCAGCGTTGGATGATTAATTGTTATCACTACTATTCAAACATTTCCCTTCCAAGGTGATCAGTTTTCCATTTTTCTCTTCCCTCTGAGTAAGTTAGGTTTAACTCCGCTTTGAGCAGTATTCCAGTTATATCACGGCATGTCAGCTTAACGTTTAAGTGATGCATGTCTTTTACCACATTGGTGAAACCCATGAACGTGGACAAACCTAGACAATTTATCGGACCGGGATTCGAACCCACATTCACAGTAATCTGGCGTGCCCAAGGGACGCAACTCTGCACAGAATTGCGGCATCTTAGACAAAGTCATATGTGCCCCATCTCTCATCTGAACCGCTGTAACTGTGTCTCTGGAAATGGGGAAGACAAACCTTTTTAACAGCCTCATATAATTACCGTATCATCGCTGCACGTCAAGGTGGATGAAAAGGAAGAGGATGTTAATGATGATGCTCACAGCCGCGATAATACCCAGGACGACGGAGAGTAACCAATATGATCTGAAAATAACACTTCTCTTTGTTAATTATCAGATACAGGCTTAACGAAGAAAAGAAGACCCCCATATGACATCATCACGCCAAATGATAAGGGACACAGTACGTCATTCACACACCAAAGGAGAAGAACCATTGTATGTCATTCACACACGAAAGGAGAGTGACCATTGTATGGTTGACATACCGAAGTAGGTCATTGTATTACAATTATATAACACACGAAAGACGGAGAACCATTTTATGACATTCACACGACAGGGTCCTAGATTAATGAGATTCACACATCAACGGAAACGGGCCTTTGCATGATCCACACGCCCAAAGAGAATAATCAGTGTATGACATTCACTCGCTACAGAGGAAGCCCAATACTGTTATATTAACACCAAAGGAGGACAATTGTGCGGTTCACACGCCGAAGGAGAAGAAATAATGTACGTCGTTCACACACCAACGAAGAGGGACCATGGTATGGTTCACAGGGTACAGGACAATGTGGGGTGGGGTGGGGGGGGGGGGGGGGGGGGGGGGGGGGGGGGGGGGGGGACGGGGGTGGGGGGGTGGGGAGATGACTCAAAACCTAAGGAATTTAGTTTGTATCCTTTTCAACCTGTCCCGTTGAGAGTAGCGTTCGTAAACTATAACAAAAGTTTCGATATAGAACTTGCAAGAAAAAACATAACAAGGTAGTCATGTGACAATCTTTCAAGCGAAATATATAACAATCAGAAACATTTGCTTCCTGCTACTATAAACATGACTTTCTTCTTCTTTTAGATGGTGATGTCATTCTCAGACTGTGACATGTGCATTGTGAGCACTGACGTGCCCATCTGTATTGACCTGTCTGTGTCAGGTTTACTGTGTGTGTGTTTATGTTCCTACCAGTTGTGATTCGACCATGCCAGGTGTACCGTGAGGTCTGACTCTCCTACCTGTACTGGTCTGACTGGTGTTTGGACTTCAACAGCCCTTGTTCTGCAAAAGCTGCAGAAAAAATCACCAAACAGTGTAAATTAGCAACCCTTCCTTGAAGGTTTCATAGATGATACAACTACATTCTCATGCAGGTACTTATACCAAAATACAGACTACTAGTATATTGTTACAAACATCCTTACTAGCTACAGAACGTCCCTGATAATCCCAGTGCCCAGTGACTCACACACATCGACACATGTACCTCATTGATAGAACTTTAAAAACAGTATTCCCAGAGAATGATCATATTGCTTACTTACTCACATATATCATCCCGACTGACGGGACTTCCAAGAGAATCTCATTGAACAATCACTGTACCAGTGCAATATATAATCGACATTTAGCATAGAAATTAACAAACGATCACAACAATGATGCTCAGATTAGATTGACCTTAGAGCCTTTGTACAGATTGGGTTTTCCCTTAGCCATACGGCAAAAACCAAAGGTTGCACACGCTGTCCCATCATAAGACTGATGACTCCTTTCCGCCAAACTGGCAGTACCAGGGACAGGCCAAGAAGCGACCGTTGGCCAGGCCCAGCGAGTACCGTTTCCTTTGGTTTTTGCACCTTAGGAACAGATTTGTGACGTCATCACTTGCATCCACCCTTGGTCGTCAAGTCAGGACTTATCATTTCTTATCTTTTGTGATGACACCTAAACTTATATGGGTTTCAAAGGGATCTGACACAGTGTATGTCATGTACTATGTGTCACACTATAGTCTTTGCATTGTATGACTTGTTTATAACTCGACGGCTTACTAGTAAGTAGACTATTTGGACTGACAAGTATTCAAACGACAGAAACATGTTAAATAAACCAGAAGATATCCAGACACAAACTCCAATTCAACTGTATAGCTAAAATATTACCCGTCACTCACTAACCAACTGTTCAAGCACCTTGCGCAATTAGTCTGATTGAAACACACGTGTACACTCCAAAGGGCTTTACAATGTGCATGCTTGCAAAATGAAAACTCTCTTGCATTGTTACTCCAGCAACTCAATATCCTGTTCATTTCATATGTTGTATAGGAATGACGTCCTACGGATATGTATCTGATTGTGCGTTTGGTAGTTTGTAGATTGAGTTTTTTGTTTGAGAGTTGCTTATTAATAAAGAATAATATAAGAAAAAATGTTTCCAGGAAACACATAAAGTAAGATTTCTAAACAAAAACACACAAACAAAGCAGTGTCGATATTTTTAGATGAAACATGGTACTTAGTTGATACTTGAGTCAAATATAAACTATGATGGTTGTATACACATTTTTGATGTGTTCAAAATCAAACTTTTGGGGTATAGTTATAACAACCGGACCTGACGCTGTTCCGTGTTGGTTGCACTTCAGTGAACACTGCTGGATGTCACAGGCTGGCCCTGACCTGTGATCTGAGCATTCACACACTCCCATCTCACAGGTCCCATGCCCTGAACAGTCACCCGGGTCACACTCTGGCTCATGTACACACAGGATGGTGGTCACCTGGCGCTCACAGTTGAATATTTTGTCAGGGCTGAATGAAGAGACGAATAAAGAGGCGATGAATGTGTAGGATACCGAGAAAAATACTGGGTGAGTGAGATATTGAGTGAGTGTGTGAGATAGTGAATGAGGTAAACTGTCATTCACGGATTACTAGAAAAACTGAGAATTGGAAACCCTAGTTACTTAGTTTTTCTCAATACAAGCAGAGAAAGTCAGTACAAGTTCAAAAGAACCCTGTTTATAATCACTTACGTACGAAACCTGAGTTTCGCTACTCATGAATCGGCCTAAAGATTCCTCTGGGGTAGAGACACAAGATCTAGAAAAAAGTATATTCTCTTCAAAAAAAGAAACGCAAAGCCAGATTTGTGTGAAATAGGAACATACATTTATACGAGGAACCATACAAGGTATTGAGCGAAAATGTGGTGGAGATCACTTGGTGATTTTAGTCATCTCAGTTATCGGTTCATAGGAAAAGTCCAAGGTGAAGGTCAGCTACCATCAATAACCCGTAGGCACCCCCGTTGGAATCGACAGGGCCTGGCATCTCCTGCCCATTGAAGAGACGAGTATGCGAATCACATCCTGGGGAATGGTATCTCACTCGGCCTGCAACGCAAAAGCCAACTGCTGCAACGTCTAAGTTTGTGGTTGACGTCAGCGTAGGCGTCTATCCAATTCATCCAACAGGTGCTCCAGTGGGTTCAAATCCGGGGTTCTGGAGGGTGATGAACATCAACGTTGTTGAATTGTTTTGTAGAAAGGCTCCATGCTGTATGCGGCCGAGCGTTGTCCTGCTGGAATACATCATTGCCGTCGGCTGCAATTGGGAGGACGTGTGGTAGGAGAGTTTCGTTGATGTATCGTTGAGCCGTAAGATTGCCCTGCATATGGATCAAACCTGTGCTCTTGGTCGTCCCAACCTTGGCCGATCACGTGTTTACCAATGCTGTTGAAACCGATCCCATAGCCCTGTGGTGGTCCTATGCGATTCATTATACCTGGCTACAGGTGATCGGGATTGCCCTGTCTGCAAGCGTCCTATGACCTTATGTCTTTGCACTTCTGTTAATCCTGGCATGTTGTTGAACTGTCACTGTTCGATTGACGCTGATGCCAGGCAATCAAAAGCCCTGCATTTTAATACCGCCCATAGTGCTGCTGCACGTTCAGTACGTGCAGCTCCTTGGCCCTTTTGATAATGCACTGGGTCCGTTTTCCCCGACTAATTATACCTCTTCATTTTGCACCAAATGGTCCGCTAATGTCGCTAATGTTGCTTTTATGGCCACAAAAATATCCGTATAGCGTTTTAGAAGAGTTTGTGTGTGTATGTATATATATATATATGTGTGTGTGTGTGTGTGTGTGTGCATGCGTGCGTGCGTGCGTGCGTGCGTGCGTGCGTGTGTGTGTGTGTGTGTCAGATATTAATCTTGAAAATAGTATATGCTATTCACCGAGTAAAACTCTAACCTACGACGGGTGGCTCAAACATTCTAAACCTGAAGGAGGAGTCAGAGTATAAGACTATTGAATTAACAGGTCTACATAAAACTCATTTTATCGGTTCCCATAACTAGTGTCGGGTAAAGCCGATTGTCGAGTTAACAAGTGTCGGATTAAAGAGACTTGAATGAATGTTAGACTGCGTTAATGGAGTTGGTTGCTAATCTTTTATCTACATAATCGCCTCCGAGATCCACGCACTGCTGCCAAGTTTGGACGATGCTGGAGAGCCTGGATCCCATAGATGGATATGCAACTTCTTTTTTACAATTAGTCCTCCTGGTTGTATAAAAACGTCATCATCATAAAGTTTGTTTACAGTTCTCCCTTCGCGTAGGGAAAAGGTTGCAATCTGAAGGTGCAAATCTGGTGAATGTGGTGGATGTGCGCATGCAATGAGTTCAAAGCCACTGTCATGCATTGCGGACAACAAACTCGTGCACGGGTGCATTGTCCTTGTGGAACAAGTCACCTTTAGTGAATTGTCCACGGTGTTTAGCCGTGATCATGATATTCTTACGCAGATGCCTTCGCAGGTATCATACTATTGGTCTTTTAATTATGATCTAACCTTTCGGGAGGGAGTCCACAAGTAGGATTCCTTTGGAATCACAGAAATCCGAAGCCGTCACCAGTTGATGGAACAGACTTTGCCTTCTTCGTCGGAGGGGGTGTTACGTGTTTCCAATGCTTGGACTGTTGTTACAACTCGTGCAGTCAGTGTAAACCAAAGACTCATTAATGGTTTCATATCGCTGAACAAAATCAACCATGTCTGCTTCGAAACGACGTAAATTCTCACGAGAGATGACGAACACGGAACGTGTCTACATCAGGAGTCGGAAGCCTGGGAAACCATTGTTCTGAAACTTTTGTCATGCCCAATTCATTCATCAGAATGTTCTAAATTATCTCATGAGATATGCCTTCTGTATTAGCTATGTGACGTGTGGTCGTCGAGCATCCATTATCACATATGTATTTTATCAACAATTCCCTTCGTGGTGTCAGTTGCACTGACCAAGCCATCTTCGAGGCTCTCCAGAAAATGACGGATTAGTTTCCTCCAAAGCCGATACAATGGGTAGCTGTTTGATTCGGTTGGAGTTAGCAGTAGCAAATATATATACGCATTACATGCACACTGTTAAGGGTATATATAAAATTTGAACAGTTGAAAGAACAGGTGTAGAGTTTTGATTCAAATTAGAATTGATCATTGAACATCCAATGAGATCTTGGAATTTTGACGGTAATATGCGTACAATGGACCACCAACAAAATGTCTCCAAAGCAGTATGATTTAGACAAACGATAACACTGGGATGCCCTCACCATTCATCTGACGGATGGCTGACGAGTGTACCGTTTATAACTGTTGTGGCCGAACCTCCACTGTCAAGGTTAATGGCATTGACAAAGCCAAGGTCAAGCAATATGGATGCCATCTCGTGGAGGTCAACTCTTTTAAAATAAAAGTAAATATCACTTTTCAGTTTCGTTTATTGAAATAGTTAAAACTAGAAGTGACCTATCCTCTATATTATCCTGTGTATTTATCTCCATATTGTTTTGCCTGGTTGCCTGGCAACAACAAAGCTTTGTTTTTTTAAGTCTCTTATCATGAACTTAGCACAAGTTTTCATTCGCTCAAGAGCTGGAATTCAACAGACAATTCTAATTGCCTTTTCTGACCACACGTTCGGGATAGATTAACAGTCGAATCTAAATAGTTTTATAAAGTCACTATTGGAAAAACTGGTCAAAGTGGACCTTTATGCAAAAAGAAGTTCCGCTTGAATTTGAGTTGAGTCCAGTGCTGGTGATATGGCTGTTTGTTTCAATCACGACAGGACAGTGTTATTGTTTTTCATTGGACGTTGAATATTAACGTCATGTTATTCGAAACGAAGTTCTGGTCGCGAATGGGTCCAGGGTACATGTCATGATAGTATGGAGATATGATACACTGGATGGTCGAGGATTGGTCTGTAACAATAGGCTGATATAGTTGCATTGACAATTTGCATGTATGGGTGACTTGGTCAGGATAAGGAAGGACGTGCTGATCTATCGATAGTTTCGCTAGTCGGAATAACGTGACCAGTTACTTTATCTTTCTGTATTACCCAGAGTCAAAATCGCAATAAGAGATATTTTGCTTTAACTTCAGAATAGGTTCATAACTTTATATCAGACACAAGGGCAAGGATGGAGGAAATTTAATTCTTGTGTAAATGTTGTTGTTTTTTAAAATAATTGCATAAACCTATGAATTAACAACCTTGCATAGTTTTTGTATCATAGGTACAGCTACAATGAGACGACTTAAGCCTTACATGTGGGTTGGGAATTGGAAGCAAGATGGGTGTAGGTGAAAATACCATAATGAACTTAATACTTATAAAAAGCGTCACTGATCATGAACTTACCCAATATTCCCCTTCGCCACATCGACATGGGCAATAAGGATGCGGCCGTCTTTGTCATGACCGACAGCAACTCGAGATTTTTGGATGGAAGCAAACTCTCTCAGTGTTACTAAAATCAGGAATTTTTTCAGGTTTATGTGATCCATCCTTGTGAAGTGAGGAAATATGATTGTGAGTTTTTCAGAGAAAGAGAAAATAACATACATTGTCTCTGGTATCGCAAGAGTATTTGTGTGGCACTATTTACAAATTTTTACAATAAATCTCACCAAATACGAATTGTTGGTGTATTAAGCATTTTGTCAAGAAATAAACTGATCAAACTCTTATCCCCTTCTTGTGCCGTGTCGCTAACCACAGGGCTTTTCAGAAAGTTTATTTTGGTATGGTTCAGCTCGTACCATGTTCACGGTGATCATGGTGAGCAATGTGTTCCAATGCCATTTATAGTTATGGTATCAAAAATAGAAATGTGGTTCCAAAAGTACAGGACATTCTTGTTGAGTTGGAGTTTCTTCATACAATCAAGGGCCGTATATTATAATCTGAATGGTGTACCTTTTATGCCTTAAATCTTATATTTAAAGATATACGTTTCAACATCTACTCAGCAAAAAAGATTACTTTGTGACTGAGATACTGTAAACGAATAATCTTCATTCGCCATCAGCAATCTTGCAGCTATTCACAGTATCAGGGTAGAATAAGGAAAGACGTAGGGATACATGCTTGTTGTCGGCGTCGAACACTCGTTCTTGATGCTCTCGTCAACATAGATCTCCCCTTCCTTCAGGAGCCATATGACACCTCCAACTAGCTGGGTAAACCGATGTGTCATCAGATCCTGCTGTGACAGATACCTGCACGTAGATGTAGAATACATAGAGAATAAGCAAAAGGCGAGGAACTTGCCGCATTCATTTACGAGGGATAGATAATGCGTAAATCCTCGCAGCTCGTTGGTTATTCATATATTACTCATCGTCATTTTGAGAGAGAACATGAATAAGCGCATGAAATGTCAACCCTACAGGGAAGCGTCAGTGAAGACAACATATTGCTGGATGACGTAATACAAACAATATATGACGTCATGAACAGTAGATGACGTCATATCGTACTTTGCAACAATGAGACATCGTGACGTCATATTCATTTGACCAATCAGCATTCATAATCTCTATTATGAGCATGTACAAATATATAGAGAATGCTACACTCATTCTCGTTAGATACCATTTTTACGAAACGGGTGGATATTCTATGGTATCTGACCATTTACATCTGAATGTTATGCTGTTTTCTTTACCTATGTATTTAATGGATTTTTTTTATTACTTGCCAGTGAAGAGATCACCCGTGTAATAAACATACAGCTGTATTACACATTGTGTAATACCAAAACGCGTGCTTATGTACTCTCGGAATACGTTTCACGAACAAATATTGAAAGCGCTCAACATCCCTTGGCTAATTCAACGACATTACGTGTGGAGTTGATAGATCACTGAGAGGAGCTTATGCACACTCGATGACCCCAGCAACCTCGTCGCTAGGCTGACGTCACATGGCATTGTTTCGCCGATGGATCTTGCAATAAAATTCCACAAATTACGTCGTTGGGTATTGTCACATTATTGTAAACTTTGAGGTGCAAGGCCCGTTCCACAAGGCGATCGTATTGTAGCGCAACGACAGCCGTTAGTCTAAGTTTAAGTATGTGAGTTGCGATAGTCTTAGCCCTACGATAATTATGTGAATTCTAAAGGTGGACCGTTGTATGGTGCTAAATTCATACGTTTCAACTTTTGACGTGTTTGAAGTATTATTCTGTTAAACTCAAATGGACTATGCCGTGGATCGTGTAGGTGTCAGCCTATTCATACTCAACAGTTTAATTCTAAAAATGTTTTAAATGGCAAGTAATTAATAAAATACTAAAATCGCTCCCGTGTAAAACCAATTTTATGAAACTCGTTTCATAAAATTGGTATTACACGGGAGCTCGTTTAGTATTCTATTTATTGATTAAGATTAAAATAATAAACACAATCACAAACAACACAAGCCAATCAGCTGACGCCAAAAATATTATACTCAGTGAACTAATTACCAAAGATATTTTCCAGGTACCTGAGCCCCTTTTGTCAACATACGTATCTGGGTGAGTGAATGACTTTGGTTTAACGACTATTTGAATATAATTTCAGTTATATCACTGCAGTCAACTTGATGAGGGAGAAAAAATAGAAGGCATGGTGGTCTCAGATCTTATCACTTCTTGACGGAAAGCCACGATAACGGTTATGGTACTGACAAACCAAGAAGCATAATCAGGGTGAAACGGGATTCGAACCCACGATCATAGATTTCAGGACCGCAAAAGGAACACAACTCTGCATAGGGAAATGTGGCGCTTTAGACATTGGGGACACCCCGTTGGGCCGCCTGGCGGGGAAGACTTCCAACATCTTGACCCCGACTTACCCTGCGAAGATGTAGCCGTCTGCAGTGATGCCGAAGTGAGCATTTTGCACCCCACCACTGTCACTGACCAGTCTCCCATCGCTGTAGATGTTGCCTGTGAACAAAGCAGTAATCAGTGAGTGAGTTGGGTTAATCCCCGTTTAAGTAGAATGTCAGTTATATCGATTCTGTTCCGTTTTCGTTCTTGTTGCTTATTAAACAGGAGACTAGTCGTAATGGAACAGACAGAGCATAATATACATTAATATATAATATATATTATTCACATAAAATAATATATAATATATATTAATCACATACAATAATATATAATATATATCAATAACATAAAATAATATCATGGACTATTGAAAGTAGGCAATCGGCTATAGCCAGGATATACAGTATCTCCCACATTACCGTCTCTAAACTTTGGTATCGGCACAGCAATATGATACATCAAGAAAACAGCTACAACAGCAACAATTCCAGGATAGCAGAAGATATGTGATCAGAAAGTGCAATTCACCATGAAAGTTACGTTTTTCAACCAACTGCATTTGGGATCGGTAGCCTTAAGCTTGGAGGTGGCAGAGTAATGATGTGGGCGCCCATCTTTCACCCAGAGCAAGGCAGTTAACGACCCAACGCTCTTGTAATAAAATCATACAGACGCATGTTGTTCCCATGCTAACGTCACGTTGTGAAACCTTTATACGTGTCATTCAATTTTGAGTCCGCCGTGTAGCGTCCAGGTCGGTATTGGTCCCATTGAAAGGTGAATGTATAGCTTAGTCAGGTTTGGTTGATGGCGTCCTCGACGGAGTTGTGTTAATCACTGGCCATGGATTACCTGGTCCAGACTCTTTTACTTACACACCGCCGCCATATGCAATATAGTATTACTGAGGGCAGCGTTAAACAAACAAAACTGAAAATGCATTGGTCAGTACTTACCATAACATTCTCCAGTGTCTATGTTAAAAAAGCCTGCACTGATAGCCAGAACACAACGTTTCTGTTTGGCACTCTCCCTCACCGTGACTCTCTGAGCACTCCCCTTTCTACATGTCCCAGGAGCACCCGGCTCAAGAACCGAAAACGTTTTCAAAGGGTTGTTTACTTTCTGAAATAACACGTTGACAATTCTCCTGTCATAATAATACTTTCCTATGCTCTTGAGTTGATGTCGAGACTCCACAAGCGGCAAAGTTAGGTTGACACTGATGTGTGCCTTATGTTTCATGTGTGTCAGATTTCCAATCTTGACATGTTGGCACTGTCGCACTCCTTGATGAGAACCGGGACGGAACATGTATTGTAGCAACAGGTTTATCCCATCAATAACGAACGTTTTATCACTGCAAGTAAAACCAAATGACATGATTGAATATTGATAATGAGCACATGGTATGTCATATTGCACACAAAAATTGAAAAACAACATGCGTGTGGTATTGGTTATCAAAAGGTGGATTTAGGTTGCAAATTCGAAACAGCCTTGATTAAAAAACATGTTGTCGTATGTATGATATGCACAAATGGAAATGTTGCTGAAGTTTTCCTTCACCTGTTCATATTTTAATATCAGTGTTTTATATATCACTACCAGGGAGCTTCTTAACTTTAGAAAAGTGTGCTGCCAATATGCGTTGTCCAGTCCTAAAACAAGAACCGATACTGTGTTTTACAAAACAAGACGGCGACCACCAAGAAAGCATAATCGTTAATGGGATAAGTAGAACCGCGCTGTAAATGCTTCAGCGCATATTGGCAGACTTTTCGAACGGGATGGTCTATAGCGCACAGTAGGAAAAATGATTTTAAAGATGAACGAATGAGAATAAGGAATATGAAAGCGACGAACTCATTTCCAACGCCGCAAGAACTCTCTTCCGAAAGCAGCTTGAACCTGTTATTGGACACGATTAATTTATTGAATTGCCAGCGATTATTCGATGTAACAATAAAATGTTTCGTGCATAAAATAAGTAGAACATGTTATCAGTTTCCCGAACACCTTTATGCAGACTAGTTCATTGTTTCAATCAAAATGGCCAGATGGGAGACTTAAATCTCAATATAACAAGAAAACATCGATGTCCCAGATGTCTTCTGTGCAACAATGAGACGTGTACTGATTCTACGATCAATTTCTTCACCAGCAACATAACCGTGATCAAAGACCTCTTACACTAAGCTCACATACTATAACATAACTGAAAAACTGTTGAAAGCGTCGTAAAATAAAATTCACTGACTGATAAGTCAGACAGTTATAGATAGGTAATCCAATGCCTTCACCAGTTTCGAATTTCTTGTGCGTTCCAGGCATTAAACACTAACGATAAATATCATGTTAAAAGACATATGATCGTTCATGGCTTGAATTATGGCTTCCCTTCCTTCATTTCCCGGTGTATAATATCGCCAGCCCCATCGTTGCTATATGTTGCTCATGAGACTAACTTCATTGAACGGCTACTTTTAGTGTCGTGCCACATGAATGATCTTAAAACGAAAGTACAGGGGCGAATGAATTCATGCTATTTTTCAAACTAATATGGAGATAATATACACTGTATATTCGAAGGTGATGGTTTCGCGAATTAGGAGATTCAGTATGGTTACTCCACTGTAACTTGGCCTACTAGTCGTATTAAACCATGGATAGTTTTGATCGTTGTCATGGCTGGTATGTAACCACACATCTCATTCCCAAATGTACTGGCTTCGTCCGTATACATATTGTGAAGACCCGTAAAGATCCGGGTTAGAATAGGTTTTCAGCAACCCATGCTTGTCGTAAAAGGCGCCTATGCTCGTCGTAAGATGATTCATACATGTCACCGTATCCCAGTTGCGTGGATTGATGCTCATGATGTCGAGCACTGCATTGTCTGGTCCAGACTCGGTTATTTACAGACCGCCGTCATATAGCTCGACTATTGCTGCGTGGGGCGTTAAACAAACAAACTAACATAGTCACGTGATAATACCTGTATAGTTGAACCGAAACACCAAATGCAACAAGAGTTAGCAGTCTGAAGTACTTCGCCATCAAGCCGATTATCCGTCCACTGTCGTTGGTCAACCCAGCTCGACTCTGGAGTAGGAAGGTAGATACAGTAAATTGCCTTCTGATTGACATATGAAACAGAAATGTAACTCGTTTTTGCGAAAAAGACAACGGTGATATGTGATGCGATAAAACGGATATACATGCAAAGGCAAAGCAATTATTCACCCGATAAAATACGGGTACATACGGCACAAGTCAAAATCGGGAATTTAATCGAACATTTCTGTCGCTGACACGTCGAATCTGGAAATGTCCTCCACATATGGACCATAAAAAACCTTTTGAAAGCTATACTGAGGCTTGGAATGTTGTAACCTTGATCAAACAACATTTGAGCAAAAATCGAATGACGCTCTTTCAATTTTTTTTGTATAACGAGCATGCCAAAGTGTACCCCAAAAGCTGTGAAATGTAGACACCAAAGGCTGGAGCTGCTGGAATATTGCTCGACAATAAGGGAAAGTTGAAATCATCCCTCTTGTACAATCGTGAGAGTGGTGTTTTGTCATAGATCTAAATATGAAACAGACTCACTGTCTCCTCTATTTCTGATTCAGTTTAGATGTGTCTATTTCCTTACAGGCCATGACAAAAGAAAAGGGTGACATGTATATCTGCATGAAAAACCTAAGATCACATATGGGTGTTTGTGTTCATCAGGAAAGATTGGGTCAGTGATTTTCCATGTAAAAAGAGTTGAATTTGTATATTGAATGAAACACATTGTGATTAAGACATTATATGGTAAAATGAATATCAATTGTGAAACAGTATATGAGTGAGTGAATTTGGGTTTTACCACTTTTGACAGTGTTCAAATAATATCACGGCGTATCAGCTTAATGTATGAGGAAAGCCCGATGTGACGCAGGTCTCAGATGTTTACCACTTTGGTTAAACCCACGAGCACGGGTATGGAGCTGACAAAGCTGGAATTATAATCTGGGCGTACCGGTATTCGGACCCACAATCACAGGCTTCTGACTTGAAGGCAACTATTTATTGCAACTGATTAAATGTTCAAGATAACAGGCAAATAAGACATATTTATAGACAGGTAGGTTCATTCAAACCTTGTTCCATTTGATCACCACAATGAATATTTCCTGAATGCGAGTGGTTATATTTAGCAGTGACCTTGGTCAATAGCTTTACCTACTTGGCTTTACATACTACATTTGCACGTACTTCTCTTTGAGTTCATGCTTGTAATGTTTGTTCGCTGCACACGATGCTAAATCTAGTTGCCTGCCTGCCGATCATCAGTCGGATTTTAACCACGTGATCAAAACACAAAGATGATGTTCATCGCTTAGAAAATGGACATTTGCAATTTTTGTCATAACTGTTAGTAATATTCCTTATCGGCGGAATGACTTGAAACTTTATGAGTGTTAGCACACATGCAGCTATCTTCGTTAACTACTAGTAAACATCGCGATATTTAATAATTCTATTAAAGATGCGAGGACTATAGTTGCATGTTGCTCCTCAGAGGTCAGAGAAATCCTGGACTTCCGCATTGATAACACCTATTATACATGTAGGTTGCTAATGGGTACCAATTATGCTACCGTTCTTGCTGGTCGTTTTTACTAATGCATATGAATCGGCATTGTGCTCGGATTGGCCATTTCACAACAAGGCAATTTAAACAAGACGTTTTACTTAAGGTACATTGGTGATATGACGTCGTGCAATAACCATCAAATAGCCAATTCCATTCTACTGATTTACCCACCGTCTGGCACTGTAAAACCTCAGTCCCTATTCCTCAATTTGCAAAACCATCCTCTTTGTCACTGAGCTGGCTCATTCGGAACAGCTAAAACAGTAGCAGAGCAGATCAGTAACAGCTGCCATCTGTATGTCGATATAAGACATCAACTGTCCAGACATCATTTCAACAAAAAACACAAGTTGCTGATGCTGATGCTGATGTGATGATATTAAAATACAGGTACTTCATTTGATAAGTATAAGTTACACAGAAATATATAAATAATAATAGGAAAATGTGTTTTGTAAAATTACTCACTGTTATTATTCATTATTATTCACGATTTATATCATGCCAAGGAAGACAATGTTATCATGCCAAGGTAGACACAATTTTATGGATCGATGTTTTTCATGTATATATGTATGTATGTATTGTAAATGTATAACTATGTATCATGAACATGTGGCTCCATGGGTTGGAATGTGTGTGATGGAGTAAGTGTGAAACGACCGTTGATCTAAACAATTAATGTCTCACTCTGTAAGTAGCCTCTTATGAAGGTAACATCTTGTTTGGTTACAATAAAGCATCTGTTGACCCAGTTGCTCTTCTTTACCATGTATCTTCAATGTATCTTCTGAATTGTTTCTACTGATTATGGTTGAAAGTTTTGAAATTTTGAGATAGGTAAATAAATACTTTTGGAAATATAATTAATTTTATCAAAGGTCGGTTTGGTTTTAAGGTATTGATGATATCGTCCTTTAGGGCTTGATAATACATTTGCCCTCTATGTTTTGGTGAAAATTCATCTCTAAGTATTTGTTCCACATTTGAGCATAACCAGATGTTTTAGCATGAAGAAGTTATAAAGAAGTTCAGATGATCCAAATTCATCAAGTAAATTCTCTATAAAATATGTCCATGGCTATGGGTATGATCAAGTTTAGATCTTGACAAATCATAGTTATACATCACATTGGATAATTTAATGTCAACTATTATAGGTTAATTTAGGCCAACATGTTTTTATTCGTAAGAAAGAGGATATATGGATTTCAACTTCTTTATTATGAGGAACACAACGTTTCGGAGTATATGCTAAATCCTTTATCAGGTGAATGAATTCTATGAGACAGAGAGCATAAATATGTACATATAATGACAAAACAAAATTCATAAGATAACAATAGGAAATAGCAAAGGGTTGAAACTAACAAGTGAAGCCAACAGATGATTGGCGCTGATAGGTGATTAGCAATAGACAATGGAAGCCAACACTTTACAGGAATTAGCGCTGATGGTTTGGAAGCCAGTACTTAAGACTTAGTTATCATAGAGAAGTAATGGGCACTGGGCAAACGGGAGGCCTGGGGGTAATTAGCACTGATAGGTGAAAGAATGGACAGAGCAAAGGGCAAATTGACATAGCAAAGGGCAAATTGAGGCCAGCTAGGTAATTAGCACTAACAGTGATCAAACTTGGTTGGTTTGTTGTTTAACGCCGCACTCAGCAATAGTCCAGCTATATAACGGCGAATTGGCAACGCAATTGGGGCTTCTCCCTTAACTCAGAAAAAACAACAGGAATAGTATTCAAACCTAAAAACATGAAACCCGCCTCCCCAATCCTCCAGCTAAACAATCAAACAATCAAATTTCAAAAACAAACCAAATTCTTAGGACTTATTTTCGATGAACATCTCACCTGGGATGCTCACATCCAAAACCTAACAACTAAATGCAGTAAAGACCTAAACACCCTAAGATGCCTAACTGGCTCTAACTGGGGAGCATCCAAAGATACCCTCCTCTCTCTCTACATATCACTAATTAGATCAAAACTAGACTACGGCTGCGCCATATACAACACCCTAAACAACTCTCTATCTAAAAAACTTGACTCAATACAATATCAGGCTCTCAAACTAATTAAACGCACCCAACATGGCACCTCCTACGCCTCACTTCAGGCCTTAACAGGAGAAATGCCACTAAGTCTACGCAGGGAACAGCTAAGCTTAAATTTCTGGGCCGCGTCCCAATCAAACCCTCTCATCCAAAACTTAATAAACCAAAACATCAGCCCCAAAAACCAAGCTCTAGCTCGTAAACACCTCTTACTTACCCCAATATCCCAAAGAATAACAAACTACCTAAATGAACACCAAATTAAAAATCTTAAACAAAACTGCAAACAATCAAATATCTTCACCCCTAAACTTAAAATACCCAAAATAGACACAACACTAGCTAGCCAAATAAATAAACAAACCGACCCAAACATAGCTAAATCTACCACACTAGCATACATACACGAAAATTGGCCAAATTGGTGTCACATTTACACGGACGGATCCTCAGATCCGACCTCCAAACACACAGGTTTCGGAGTCCATACCACACAACCAACTAAAACCACACGATCCTTCCGACTCCCAAACAACCAATCAATATTCACGGCAGAACTAATGGGCATGGCCTCAGCCCTCCATAATCAAGAATCCAAAAAACACAAAAATATCCCAATACTTACCGACTCCCTAAGTGGACTGCAAGCCCTCCAAAACAAAAATACCAAAAACCGACCTAAATTAATAAATCAAATACTTAAAAGCTCCAACGACCTAACTAAGGCAGGCAAACAAATAACCTTCTTGTGGATACCCGCCCACTAAGGAATATACGGTAACGAAAACGCCGATAAAGCAGCTAAACTATCCCTCAAAATCCCAGAAATAAGTTTAAAATTACCCATCTCAAAATCAGAAATTAAAAGTTTAAACAAGCAAAAACTCACACAAAAATGGCATAACCTATATCTAAACTCAAATAGCCAAATCAAAAAAGTGCTCAGCAAACCACTAACCAAACCAAAATTCTCCATCCATCGAACAAAATCGACAGAGTAATCACTAAACTCCAAACAGGACACACCAACCTAAATAACCACCTAAAAAATTTAAAAAAAACACACTACAGGTAACTGCCCACACTGCAAACAACCAGAAACCCCAGAACACGCACTCATCCACTGCACACACTACCTAACACATCGAACCGCATTACAAACCACCCTCAATCTAAACAAGGCTCTAACTCTAGAAGCAATACTAAACCCACAAAATAAACTAGAAAACTTTAAGGCCTTAGGCGTATTCTTAATAAAAACGGAACTAATAAAACGCATCTAAAAACACAATAACCTACCAAATCAAAATCACATAAACAAACAAACATCCACCATACCCAGCTCCCTTAGTTCTCCTCCCCAATCCCATCGGCATCTATTCCAAATCTAAAAATTCCCAAATTCTATATAAGCAACCCCTAACCCCCCCCCCTCTTTGGTTGCACAGACCACCTTCGCCCCTTTCGGAAACACATTAAATGGCCTGGCCGGGCCCGTGTGCGAAATACGCATCAGTCGGAAAGCGCACGTTAAATCTCCAAAGTAAGTAAGTAAGTAAGTAAGTACGCAATTGGGATCGATGACGTGGATCGATGGACACAGGAAAGGTGAATCACATCAAAACTACAACTAAGTCAAGTCGGATCATTCATTCCGACACTGTGACAGCAATCGTACTTTTCAAAGTTTACCAACTTTTCGTAACGTTTCTCCAACAAACAAGACTTCTGCACATTCCGTCTATGTTGTTGTTATAGGTTTTGGCATTTTTTTCAAATGACACATAAACAATTTGACAGGGTTTCCGTGTTTCCTCTTCTCAATGTGAAATGCACGTCTCTGCCGATGCACGATGAGGGCTGTCTGTCAGTGACGAGATCGTGGCAAAAAAAACCTTGATTTAAAAAAAACCGATGAACCTTTTTGGAAACTTGTCTTCTTTATCAGTGCTAGATAGTGTACGCTGTGTAAATAAGACAGAAATATAACTGCAATAATGAGGTCTTTTAGTTTTTTAACAAAACTATATTTTTAACGCATGACAACACATTAAGTGAGTAATGCGATTGGAGTGAGTGGGCAGTGTTTTTTTCACACACGGATTGATACAAAACAGCTGATTTTTGATCGGCTAAAGCTCGGAATTTAAAACATTAATTTCACTCGTGACATATTTTCCGTAATCCCTCGTACTTCGTGGGTTATTCTATAATTACCAACCTACCTTCGTTTTGACGCCGTGTGTTTTGAAACATGTATCCTCAACGTGCTTGGTTATGTGTTATTACCTGAAAATGAAGCTAGGACTAAAATACGTTATGATTACTTATTCAGCGTGTATAGTATTTAAGTGAGCTGGATGTACATTATTTCGTGCTCAGATTCAGTGGGCCCCAGTCAGCTGTTACAGCCACGAAGTGCGTTGAATGCATTATGCTGAATATCAAAGTAAATGCTTCAGTACAAAACTGTATAATTAAGACCTACTTCACAAATGGACTGACTTTTGCGAAGGCAATTCAATGGTTGATAGTAACTCGTGCAATAATTTTCCGATAGTTGCACATGTTCATTTTAAGGCTTCTCAATGTTGATTTGTCAGTTGAAGTCCCATGATGTCAGTGATAGGAAAATATGATATCAAGGCACGTCATCCTTTGTTCCTGGACCCGTGAAGATTCCGGGGTAGAATAGGTCTTCAGCAACCCATGCTTGCCGTAAAAGGTGGCTATGCTTGTCGTAAAAGGCGACTAACGGGATCGGGTGGTCAGGCTCGCTGACTTGGTTGATGCATGTCACCGTATCCCAATTGCGTGGATCGATGCTCATGATATTAATCACTGGATTGTCTGGTCCAGACTCGATTACTTACAGACCGCCGTCATATAGCTGGAATATTGCTGAGTGCGGCGTAAAACAGCAAACCAACCAACCATTGTTCCTGACAACAAATTCGAGACATTACATTACCTTATACATTATGGATTGTCTGTTCCAAGTGTATGAATGTTAAGGCTTTAAAATGCTCAGAGGAAATCAAAAATGCTTACTGTTTAATGTTTCAATGTGGCTAAGCTTGTGCGTGCTAATTTCAGTTATTTGCCAGTTTCAAACTAAGTCAAATTGGATATAATTTAGAAAATATACAGCTTATCCTGACAAAAATGTAATTCTTTTTATTCATAATTAACAGTGTCATGCAATACCAGCTTGAAAAGTGTTTCTCTCCAATAATTGATGGGTGTATAGGG